GGGGTAATTCATCAAAATTTTCTTTGGTGAACACGTCTATGAAGTCTCGGTAGATCTCGGGTACAATTTCTTCAAAAGTTTTTTCTTTTTTATTGAGATGGGCCTGGGCGGCTAGACTGGTGGATTTAGTCCCCATGGCTCGTATATGGAGGGCTTGTTCAAAATCAATTACTAGGATTTTATCCCCTTCTTTGACTTCAGTTCCCCATCGTTGGCTCGGGTTTTCATCGGGTAGGCGGAATGGAATTTTCCGGCAGTCACATCATGCCAGGGTGACGGTTCTGGTGTTCCAGTCGATTAAGGGGTTGTGGCGTTGTAGCCAATCATGCCCTAAAAAGATTGGTGTGGTGCCTAGGTCGATCACGGCCAACTCTATTCGTTTGGTATGATCCCCGATCATGAGATGGACTTCGACATAGTTGGTGATGTCACCCCCCATGTTCTGGGTTCCATCAGCATTATATATGGGTACTGGGTGCACAGCGGTTCGGGTGGTGATCTGGTGCTCCTTGACCCACTTTTGGTCAATAGCACTCCCTGTACATCCGCTGTCTACCAAGGCTTTAACCGGGTGTTTAGCCAGGGTATCATACATTTCTAGTTGAATGGAAATGGTGACGTTTCGTCCTTTTCTTTCCCGAATATATTGTGGTGGTTGTTGGAGATCGGCCATCCATTGTGCTTTGTGGCAGGTCTCTGTCCACATCTCATGAGGACATTCTAGTAGAGCCTTTACTAGTTCGTCGGTTACTTCCTCGAGATGTCGAGGGTGAATCCACTGTCGTAAGTGGGCTTTAGCAGCATTTGGGGTAATGTGCATGGCCCTTTGGACCCATGCTGATTGGTAGGGTTCCAGGTACTGTTGGTCCGAAGGGTACTCCTCTGACGAGTACTCGAGGTTTCCCTCTTTTGGCGTCAGGGACTTCCCCTTGTCGCTGTTCGCTGCAGGATTTGTGGTCCTTTGGTCTTCTGCAGTTACTGAGCTTCCTGCCTGTTCGCTTGCACTACTAAGGTCTTTTCCACTCGGGGATGGCCTGCACAGTCCGGATTTTTTAGAGTTCCGTAAACTCTGTTGGTAACTGAAATCGTTTTCGTCGTCAGGAATCTCCATTATGGTTACCTTTTTATTTGCTTGGTTGCCTCGAGGGGAGAACCAGCTCCCTGAGGACTTACTCCCCAGACTCCTTGTCTCTGCCTCGAGCAGTATGGCTTTTGCCCTGCGAGGTCTTTGTACTTGAAGGGTCCTCACCCTGGTCCTTTACCCCAATGGGTAGTTCAGTAACCCTTTGTGGATGCACACATGTTGGCTCACCAGGGGGTCTTGTGGGATTCCCCTGGTTCCTCGCCTCAGCTGCTTTTCCAATGCAAGCCATTGCTACAATTGGGGTAGGAGTGGCAGCTCGGGTTGTCAACCAATCTTCACCAGGGTGGCTGGGCGCAGCCTGGTCCTGATGCAAGGGCCTCTCTGTTGCATCCAGAACTCTTCCTGCACCAGGCAATTTCTTCTCCTCCGCTGGGAGCTTGATCCAAGTGGGGGTGTCGGTCCTGCTTCTGGGGGTAATGGAGGTTACTGCCAAACCTTCATCCAGTAGCTCTATTACGCTGCAGGCCTCTATCATCCCTGTGGCATGGCCCTCCGCTTGTCTGAGGGGTTCCCTGCCATCACAGAGGGGCCTACTTGTTCTTGATCCACCACCGCCAGCAGCAGTGGGTCACTTGCTCATTTCTGGAGTTGCGCATGAGTCGCACCTAGTGGGGTTCACTGCCAATACAGTCATTGTACCGATGGAGGAAATCCCTCGTACTCCATGTCTTGATCCCTCCAGTGTCGACTCGGTGAGAACCAAAGTGCTTGTGTCCCCTGAGGGTTTTCCTTCTGCTTTAAAACAGTTCAGGTTTGGGTCCACTAGGCACTCATCGCCATCGGCTTCATCCCGTTCCTTACCTGGACATGCGCTCCCAGGGGTGAGTGGTTCGAAAAAGTAGAATCTTCTGGCCTCATCTTCTGGACCTTCATCCAATAAGCCAGCACGAACCCTACGAGGGTTCTTGACTTGCCCGCCACATGCCTCCTTGCTCTGGTTTGTCCTCGGGTTTGGGTTCCATCCATCCCCCACTTGGGGCCTCTCCGTTCGACTGTTTGGGACCATTCTTTCCCTCCAGCCTGCTGGAAGGTTGACCACATGTTGTGGTCTGCCCGAGCCTGTTGCTGTTAGGCTGCTCGGGCTCGCTCCTCAAGGTAGCTGTACTCGAGTTCTATTGCCTGTTGAATTGACTTCCGACATTCGAAAGCCTCCCACCTGAGGACTTGGCAGGTGAGGTTCTTTATCAATTGACTGGTCCTGGTCAATGTGAAGGCGGAAATCCTGTTCTATGCCATGCTGAGTTCGGGATCAAGCATCATCTTGGCGAATATCACCCTGTGATTCAGTTTGGGTTTCTTGAGAACGTGACAAAATGAGTATATTGTCCATCGTAGTTCCTACATGTAAAGTATCAACGTTAAATTTCATAATAGGATGCATACCATTGGAAACACAAGTTCTGGTTGACCGAGGTGAATCACCTAGTCCTCGGTCGACTCCTCTTTTACCTCCTCAACCTTTGTCATAGCGGGGTTTTCCTCCTGTTCGGCCTCTTCGATTAAGGCTCTTAGGTGCTGTGTGAATGGTGTCGCTTTCTTGGTGAAGGGTTTCGGTTTCGGTTTCTTCATGCTGCGCCACTTGGACTTGTCGGTCGGGCATTTGTTGTCCCGACTGATGTGTCCTGTATTACCACATCGAAAACATCGTCTCTCCTTCTTGAGATGGTCGATGTCCATGGGTTCGCCTTCGCCCCCATAGGTGGTTCCAGTAGTATCTCTTTTATCGCTTCTGCCTCCCCCTGAGGTGCTGGCTTGTCCGGCAGATCCCGATTTGGACCCCTCGGTTCCTGTGGGGCGGCCCCCACATTTGGCTACCCCTACTTGGTAGTTCTCGTCCATACGGCTGACTCTGTCTTTCCATTCATAGTAGCCTTGGGGTCGATGATTGTCACTTTCCATGATGACTTCTTTGACGTGAGGTTGAATGGCCAGTTTTACTACTTCTTCCATTTGGTCCGCATTGTCAAATCATTTTGCCTTTATGGCTAACTCTTCGAATCTGTCAAAGAATTCCATGGCTGACTTGAATTGTGACTGTTGGAGCTTCTTCCACTCGATTCGTTGAATCTCGATTTCTGCCACTTCTTGGAATCATCTTCGTACTTCTTCCTCAAAGGTTACCCATGCGGGGTACCGATGATGAGAGTTGTGGGAGTCCCAATATTTTCGTCATTGGTCCACCCACCACTGCTTAGCGTTTCCCTTGAATAGGGATGCTGCAAATGCTACTTGGTTGGGTCCATACCCATATGTTGTGTTGAGGGAAAAATACTTTGAAAACATTTCAAAGTAAGCGTAGCAGTCGCTGAAGAACTGGTCGAGATCATGGGATTTTCCATAGAATACGTCCGGTTTTTCTATGAGTGTGGGTTTAACATCTCCCCAAGGATTAGGCTGTCCTGCTGTAATTGCCCATCCAAGTGGCAGATCAGGTGGTAGTGGTGGATTTGCAGGGCGAGGAAGTGATTGGAGATTTTGATCACTATGCAGTATAGGTGGCGCCGCTGGAGGGGGTGGCACTCCACTGCCTCCGCCTCCGCCTCCACCTCCGCTGATGAGCCTCTAGGCTCTGTGCGCTCTGAAATCATGGACACAACCTACAATTTATCACCTTTGTCCCTATAGCGGACTTTCCCTAATTCAATGATTGCAAGCAAGATGCAATTTAAACCAAGTCAATGGGTGTTCAGCATGCGAAGTTAGTGATTCGCGTATGATGTCATCAGCATCGGCCCTATCAATCCTTCCCTTCTCCCCATGGACTTTGTGCCTCGCAGTCTAGAACTAGCACTGCCACCCCACATGAAACATCCCTGCAGTCACAAATTATCCACGTGCAGCCTTGCAAAATGCGTCGCATAGCTAAAACTACAGCAAGTCAGCCGCAGCCGTAGGAAATTATTCATTGAAGTATTGGAGATCTGGTTAGTGAGAACCCTTAGTCACATTAGTATAGCCATAGGTGCAGTAACTGTGCATACTTACCAGCCTTTGCTAAGTAAGTACTTGAATAATCTATGCTATAGTAATATTAGTGCTAGAGTAAGGTAGCTTAGTTAGCCAGTGTAACTAGTATTTAAGCTCGCAAGTTGGTAGCCTGATAGAGGAAGAAGGGAGACCCCAGATTATTCTCTACACTTACCTTCAATCTCTAACACCTACACCCTACAACATACACCCTTGAAGTAGCGCAATAAAGACATTTTTTGCTGCTAGAACTTCATCTCGAACCTTTATTTCTCTAAGCAACGGTGAACCTTTAATGGTTACTTGTGCTTACAACCCATCCCTCTCTTCTACGCAAAGTAATTAGGAGTCCCGCCACTAGGAAACTCTTTTATTGCTTTGCTTCACAAACAAATTTGCTTGCTTCCACAGCTAGGGGACAGCGTTTTCATCCCTCCCATCAATGCCTTCTCTTTCTCACAGCCAGAGAAAGTCTCGTCAAGTATCAGACCGATCCTCATCACTTCGATTCAACCTTACCATGTGAGTTTAATAATTCGCTACAGCCTCTGGGTTCGCAGCTAGAACTTGGATGGCCTCTTTAGAGCTCTTATTCGTTGCACTCACAGCTAGAGTTGCAACAGGAACAAGGTATAGTCCTTGTATGTTTACTGATTCGTTTTAGGGCTTCTTCTAGGATCCCTTTCCCAATTACTTTCCTTCCTGCAAATTTTATAGTTCACTACCACCCTCTACACTACTAGTAGAGAAATTCTTTTATCTTTCCGAACTTAGGAGGCTTTAGTCACCGCACGGAGGTGCCCTGACTAGACTCGCTAGAACCATCCTTCAGATTCCATGTCTGTTAGCACATACTGCACTTAGGTTTTGTGTTTCCACCCACGGGAGTCTATAGGTTCATCACCGCCTCTGCCTCTGCCTGGTCCTCCACCTCCACCTCCAGGTGCAGCGGGTGCTGGCCCGCTCCCTGGGCCAGAGACAGGGGTTGTTGCAGTGCCTCCCATGCTTCAGAGGTGTTGGTCTAATTGTTTTCTGCCTGCAAATAGTCTTGAAGTCTCACCAGGCCTGGTGATGGTGGTGGTTTGGAGAATCCCTAGGTTTGAGAATTCCGATTCCAAATCTTCGGTACTGGGGATTTCATAATGGCCTCCTTGAAGTAGTTGTTGGTCGGGGTGTAGGATATTCCAGTAGTTTATGGCAATGTACTTGGTTTCCTGCAAGAGTATGTCCCTTTCTAATTGGGAGCCAGGCTCCGCTTTTTGATAGGCTAGCCCCTGTGGAGTGGTGGACCAGTAGGTTTCATAGGGCAGTTTGGCATGCATATGCCACCAGAACTGGTCCCAGTTCATCCTATAGAGTTCTTCGTCGGTAGGGTCCCCTACTGGATCCCTGGACGAACTCGTCACCTTCTTCATTGGAGTCATCAAAGAAGGGTGGGTCGTTTGCATATGCTCCCATACGGGTGAGCCTGTCGATTTGTATCTGGGCTCTAACCCACAGGTCCAATCGGTCGAGATGGTCGGTTGGGTGAAAAATGGGTTCGTATCATAAGAGATAGGGATTTCCGTCGATCCATATCTGGTTCCAGTTCCAGACATATGTGAAGTACCTTCGGTACTCTTCGAAGATTTGTTTGAAGTCCTCTCTATCATAGACCCACCACTGAAGCTCCCTTTGTGATATAAAGGGGGGTTTGACGTAGAAGGTGGGTTTGGGGTTAAGGAAGGGTTCGAGGTCTGGGTGAGGTCCAACTTTGTTATATCGGGCTCAGGCCAGGTCCTGTAGTCGCTGACAGATCCTGCACTGGCAGTGGGGCCAGTCACCGTGGTTCGCCTGATCAAGCTCGGTCTCGACAGGATTTGATATGTTGGTAGTTCCAGTGAGGGATTGGGCTCCTGTGAACCACCAGAGGACAGTGTCCTCCTCGTTGATGTCTGTGAATAAGACCCTTCGCTCCTACAGCAGGGAGTCAGCATGGGGGTGTTGCTCGAGGAGCTCGTTGGCATCCATCTGCTCTCCCCATGGGTCTTCATTGCTGGAATAGTATGGGGTCTGGGCCCTAGAGGGTCTTGGAAGTGTGAGAGGGATAGGGTTTTCTTCCTCAGTGATAGTGTCGAGGGTTCCCCCGATGGTTGAAGTGGATTCGACTGGTGAGATTCATGCAGTCGTGGGCTCCCCGAAGGTGTTTGCCCAGGCTCTGAGGTCTGCGATGGTGATCATATTCCTGGCTGGGGCGCGATGTCCCTCTTCTGCCCATTGTTCGAGCTCTCTGGGGTCAGGTTGGATTGGAGGGTCTGGAACATATCGATCTGAGCCAGGGATCGGCGACGAATAACTTCGTGGAGTGTCGATCCCGTGGACTCGTCGAGTCCCGTCTGCCGAGTACCAGGATAGCCAGCTGGAAGAGCTGGTTGGGGACCCAGGGCCTTGGATTCTTGGCTCTGGGGAATCCCTCGTCATATCCCTTGACTCACTTTCTGTTGTTGCGCCGCTTCTCGCCACGACGGGCTCTCCCCAGGACTGCTGGCTATGCTCATCTGTTGACCGGTTACTTCCGGGGTCTGAACTATCTGGGCTGCCGCTGCTTCTTCCCACATTGTGCCCAGCATTTGGTCGTACCCACTCTCCTTCAATGGTTTCTGGTGTTGTACTTGGGAGGCATATTTCATGGCCTTGGTCAGTAAGAATTCTTCCTCTAGTGACATCAATGTAGATCCTTCGGGCTTCTCATACATGTAGCTGCTCTCCAGGATCGTCTCCATTGTTTGGAGAGATGCTGTCTCATCTGGTGCCTTCTTCCTGAAGGGAAGGCCTATCTTCTTCGCCCCTGCTGCCATTTTGCCCTTCCATGTCTTGCTGTGAGAAGACGTGGTCGTCTTCTGGGATGGAGGACTGCGGCATGCTTGGGCAGAGTCTGATGGGAGTGAGGTGTCCGATTGAGGGTTCATTGGAGTCCATTACTCACTCACTCAGGAGGGTCGGTGCTCTTTGTTGTGTTCATTCTAGCTCGTAGGCGTATAAGAGGAGTGTTGATTCAAGGGTAACCGCAGAGTAATAAGCTTCGTGGTTTTCAAAGTTCATATGGTTGCCATCATCGATCAATGAAGGTGCTGGTTACAATTAACAGTATGACCACTGTTATCATGGAAAGTTGGAACAAGAGTATGTAGAGCAACAGTGTAGCTGTTGGTTTGACGGCGAGGATATGCGAAGCAAGCTTCGGCTAATTGTAACGCACTAACTTGGATTGTACAATGGTTGCCTCTAAACTGTCACTCGCATTTGGTGATTCAGTTGTGAAGAGGGCATTGCAATCGCTAGGTCAGAAACGATAGTCCTTAGTTTAGGAAGCAGGGAGTTTCTGCATGAAAAGTTAGGAGTGTATAACTTTAGCTGAAGCTGGGGTATTAAGACCACAGCAAGGCTTGGTTTAAATACATCATGGTATGTACTAATAGGTACTTGTCCCAAAGCATTGCTGTCTTCTAGGCTGGCCCGTTTGGTATGTTAGAAGCTCCCCTGTAAGTAAGAAGGCTAGCGTTCGTATGGTGCTATCTTCTGGGAGGCATATGTGGCATCCTGTCTGTCCTAGGATGTGATCAGAGTCAACCTAAAGAAGCGTGACTGGTTGAAGGAGGGTCGGGCCCATAGTCATGTGATCAGATCTATGGGCCATCAAACGGATCATGCATGTGAACGATGGATCATGCATGTGATTGATCAGGTCATGAATGATGTGGATCAGGTACGAGGAATGTTGATGAGAGTCAAATGACGAGTTGATGAGATAAGATAAGATAAGCAAAAAATAGGGGTGATTCATGACAGTTTCAGTCTGTTCCATGTCAGTTCTGTTCGAAGTTCCGTTTCTGAATCTGTTTCCAAGCACTTCTGAAGTGTTCTTGAGTCGAGATAACCTGCTGGAGTTAGTTGGAGAACCCCTACATACAGTGGTGTAGCGAGCAGGCTAAGTCAGTGCTTGCCTGTGGTGTTCTTTTAGCGAGCTCACTAAAGTTTCGGCATGTATTGCCTCTGTTTCTGTTGGGATCAGTGTCCCTTGTGTATTATAACTCAAATCTGCCTTGAAGGTTGCATCGCGCCAGTGAACGACCTTCCTGTAAAAAGTTCCTAGACTTAGGAATTCATTAGAGAAAGCTTAGCTTTGCTAAGAGCGCTGAGAATAAGAGAAACTCTTCAAGATATTGAAGTATAGTTGGATCGCATTAGGAATAATCGCTCCCCCTAGAACTTATGAGGGTGATTGTAGTTTGTGTAGTTGTGTGAGTGTGTGTGTGGGTTTTTGAGGTTTGCCTTTTAGCCTGCTCACTATTCCACAGGTGCCCACAGCCAGCCTCTTCAGCATATCATAGTTGAGTTCAGCATCGTGGAGACTCTGGGACAAGAAGGAGATTGGATGGATCTCACCATCTTCCAGGTAAATGGATAGGATGGCGGCAATAGCATAGTCAGATGCATCAGTTTCCACAACCAGTTGACAGTCAGGAAGCCAGTGGGTAAGGATGGGAGCATGAGTAAAAGCCTGCTTCAACTCATTGAAAGCAGATAGGCATTTGTCATCGAATTTCCACAGAGTTCCTTTGCGAGTGAGTCTTGTTAAGGGCAGGATGATCTCACTGTACTCATGAATAAAACAGCAGTAGAAATTAGCAAAGCCAAGGAAGGATTGGATATCCTTGACCTTGCGTGGAACCGGCCAGTCAGTAATAGCTTTGACCTTGTCTTCAGACATGTGTAAGCCTTCGGGCGAGAGGATGTAACCAAGATATTCAACGGAGTCCTGATGGAATTCACATTTGGAACCCTTGCAGCAGAGGCCATTGGCTCAGAGTCTGTGAAGGACTTCGCGTATGTGTTTTCAGTGATCCTCAGGATTGTCGGAGTAGATAAGGATGTCATCAAGGTATACGATGACAGATACATCGAGCATATCAGAAAAGATGTCATTGATGAAGCGTTGGAAGGCCGTGGGGGCATTGGTGAGTCCAAATGGCATGACACACCATTCAAAGGAGCTGTAGCAGGTCCAAAATGCGGTTTTCCATTCATCACCCTCGGCTATGTAAACAAGATGGTAGGCATGACGAAGGTCTAGCTTGGTGTAGAGATGAGCAGAACGCACAGAATCGAGGAGGTCAGAAATGAGGGGCAAAGGGTAACGGTCTTTTTTAGAGATTTTATTAAGTCCATGGTAATCTACACAGAGTCTAAGTTCACCGGTTTTCTTCTTGACAAACAGTACCAGAGCTCTGTGCGGAGAGCGGGAAGGAGTGATGAAACCATTATGGATGTTATCATCAATAAACTTGCATAAGGCTTTTAGTTCAGATTCAGAAAGGGAATAAATGGGTCCGAGTGGAGGGGTGGAGCCTTCCTCAATATTGATCTTGAGGTCATAGGGGCGATGCTTGGGGAGTTTTTCAGAAAGGGAATCACTGAATACATCAGCAAATTCATGGTACTCCAGTGGGACATCAGATAAGTCAGCGGGAGCCGCAGAGGTAGACTTGCCACTAACACTAGGCATAGAAGGTTGTAATGTGAACTGCTGGGCCCCTTCTTCTGCGCAAGCTTGGGCAAAAGCAGCAGCCAAAATAATAGATATCTTGGGGGTGGCCAAAGCACCAAAGGAGGGAATGGTAGGGTAGGAATAGATAGGTTCATAAGGCAGTGGAGCCCATTGGGATCTCAATTTTGGAGTGGAAGATGGTGATGGTTGGATTGGACTGGAAGAGTCTGAGCAGACTGGCACATGTGTGTTGGCAGCCACGGAAGCGTTTGAAGAAGAAACAACCGATAATGGTGAACGGAAAGTGATACTGTGCTTTACCCAGTCAATCAACAGATTGTAGCAGGAGAGCCAGTTGTATCCCAGAACGACGTTACAAGATGAATCTAGACGAGTGACATAGAAGTCAATAGGAAGAATGTCTCCAGAAGGGAAACGGATTGGGAAGGAAATAGATTGGGAGATGTGAGATCCGATGGAGCCATTAAGAAGCCGAAGTTGGATAGGGGGAATGGATTTGGTAAGGAGATTGTGATCCTCAACATACTTTGAATCAACAAAGCAGTGGCTAGAGCCAGAATCAACGAGTGCGAGGAAACAAAGGATAGTAGAAATGGGAGAACCATCAGACTCCGATCTGGAGCCGACTTCAGATGAGAGAGAGACAGTTAGGGAATGATTGGAAAGAGTGGCAGCATTGAGGGTTACGATCTCCAGTACACTGTGACAGTCAACACAACCCTGTCCTAGTGCAGAGGATACAGGGTTGCTCTCTAGTTTTCTGATTCCAACGGAACCGTTTCAATAGAGGCAGTGGACTTGGGAGTAGGGGCAGGGGTAGCTGCAGCTGCATGACTCTGAGCAGAGGCCGCAGCTTTGCACTTGTTGCAATCTTCAGTCTTGTGCTTACCTCTGCAGAACATGCAGAGGTTATTCTTCCGACAGCGGTCCTTTTCTTCTTGAGTAAGACGGCCATCTTTGCCTAGCTTGTCAGCATAGGGCTTAGGGTTGGAAGAGGAAGAGTTGTTGGGGGAAGATGAAGATGATCCCATGGAGCCCAAATGGGAGGACTTTTGGCTCATGGAGTTGGAGTTGAGGGACGAAGAGTTAGAACCCTTCGCCTTGTTGCTGTTGCTGGAAGAGGAAGATGGGTTACTGCAGTTTTCTTGGGAGATTTCAGCTTTCCGAGTCCAGTAGCGAGCATTGAGCTCTTGAGCGAGATTCCGCATATCATGGAGATTATTGGGTTTTCCGTTGATGAGCCTCCAGGCTCTGTACGCTCAGAATTCGCAGATTTTACCAGATATTTAATTCCCCAGCCACCACACAAACCTACTATTTCAATCCTGGCAATATTGCTTAATGCTGCCAATTATCCTTCCCCACTTGTACCCCACATCAATTACGTGCCCCTTTCATTAATTCTGCCAGTCTTCTTTCATTAATTCCACCAGGCACCTGATTGCAGATCTCATGGATTTAGAATCCCATCTGATTGCCTAGCACAGCCGCAATTCCGCAGCACAGCCACAATTCCGCAGCTCAAATAGCAATTCCATGGCATTAGCTCTAATGCCGTGACCTTTCCTCAGTCTTTACTAAGGCTGTTATACTGCCAAGAGATTGCTGCAAGCATCTACTTCAGTACACTTGCTTCAATGTACTTTGCCGCAGCAACACAGCAGCTCAAAATTCCGGAGATCGGTGGCATTCTTGCTAATCACTTCATCTATATGCAGTAAATCCATGTGGGTGCTGTTACTTTAGAACTCTGGGAGCATGCGTTTTGTATCATTTCTTACCAATCTATGTACTACAGACTTACTAAGGACTCGCTTCAAGTATTCTAAATTTATTCTGGACTTGTAGTATAAAAGCTAGTATACACCATGGAAAATAGGGGGTTGCTACACAGAAGTTACTGGACACTAGCCATCATCCACATTATCAACCACCGTTATCGCTTGTACTCGCTAGGAGATAGACAATAACAACATAGTCACTCCACATTATACTCTCTGTCACGGCTTTTCTTCTAACGGTATTGGTGTATGCTTATATTGCGCCAATACATGGAATTTGGTGTCCACAACTCGCTTTTATCTTTTAATCTGCCAGCATCATTTCACTTTCGCCAGCCAGGATCGTTTTCATCAGTTTTCACCTTCTATGTCGCCATTGTTTTACCCAGCTCAGTTCAGGATCGTTATGTCCCCATGTGGACTCAGATTAGGATCGTTATTGCCGCCAGCAGCATCTGTCATGGAATTTTGGTCAACAGCTTCAGTATAGGATCATCACTCATGGTATTTGGTATCTTGCCATCAGTTTCAGTATAGGATAGTCTCCATGTAGACTCAGGATTAGTATCAGTTTCGTTTTACCATCGTTAACCTCAGTATAGTTTCAGTTTCAGTCCAG